TTATAATCAATGTAATGAAACAAGTTATATGAATTGTTGAATGTGAAACTGATGATGTGCCCTGTAAACTTTCACTCAATCCACAATAAAAACCTTAAATAAAAAAAAAAAACCCTGAGTCAGAACCGATTCCATGGCACTTAATAACAACAGCACACAGAAGGGAGTGTTGTTTTAGGTACAATGTCAAAACTTAGGTTTCCCTGCTTTTCCCTTAATCTCACCTAAACAACTTTCCTCTTAAATTAACACTTACCTATACCATGAGTATTTATAAATGAGGAAGAAAAACCAGCTCTATTAAGGAATGAAGCCCCCTTCTGTATTTAAAATTACAGAATGTTCCTGATTCATAATAGAAGGCAACCTCTAGCCCAGGTCAGTGCTGATAAGAAACTGTATCCAATTTAGGCTCTAATAAGCTATCCCATTGGCACTTATTACTGATAACTAAACTGACTGTTGCATTGAGGCAGTGAGTTTGCAGGCCTTCACTGGCCTAGTCTCTCGGCTCTCAGCATGGATAAAATTCCCCTAATAAACGTTAAGGAGAAAAGTCTGTACTTACACTCTCGGCCACGATTGCTGCCTCTTCCTTTCCGGTTGTTGTTTCCCCGTGAACGGCTCGCTTCCCTCTCACTTCTCTTCTCTCTATTCTCTTTGTTTTCTGAACTTTCTTTTCCAAAATTCTTCTTCTTACCTCCTACAGTCTCCCAGGAGGTCTACCAAAGAGAAAAAGCCATCACTCAGAGCTGTCATTCAAAGTTTGTACAAGTGTAGGGGGCGCATGTATGTACCATTCGAGTCCAACTACCTACAATTTGCAGCTAGCTCGGCTACAATTGTAGTTATTGTCCATACAGTTCAATTTAGATGATGATAAATAAGATAACAACTGTTCGAATCCCACTGCCTTATATAAAGCACAAATAAATTACTATTAGATGAATTGACAACATACTACATGCTTTCCCAACACATAGTCCATTCCTATAAATTGTCATTTCCCTAGGCTCCCATTCCACCATCACTCCTTCCTATCTCAGTGGTAGCCTGGTAAGGCAAAGCTTAACTCAAAGATTACAAAATTACCTAAAAATCAGGCTCTAAGACCTCCAAAAAAAAAAAAAATACAACTTTGCCTATTCAGTAATGCAAACAAATCATCTAAGAGAAACCAATATAATTTTGGGTTGCTTTACATTTTCAATGAAGGAACCCAAAAATCCAAACTCAAAAATGACTCTAACAAGCTTTCAAGAGGGAGCCTAGATCCAGAGGGCATAGATGGAGGTAGGTAGAATCTCCACTGAATAGTATTCCAATCTGTCTGGGAGGGGCTGATGAAAGGCGATGAGGATAGGTCTCTTATGGTACAATAGTGAATAATAGTTATCAGGACTGATTGTGAGGGTTGGAAATGTAAAGGTAAACATTTTGTAGCAAAAGGAGGGGAGTGATTAAGCAATTTGCAATCTAGGAGCAGAGATTCCAGGAACCATCAAGCGAGAAGGGCGGAAAGCAGAACCCTACCCAGAGAAACAATGATGCCAGAGATAGAGAGCTAGGGACTTTAGACCCAGAGAGGGAGAGGGGCTGTGTGCTGACAACCCGGGGAGGGAGTAGGGCGGGACAGGCTTGCAGGGTATACCCTTTGGTTGGTTGATGATACATGGAGGGGATTGTAACCATGGCAATGAAATGATATACAATAGGATGAATGTAAAGCTAATGTTCTCCCATGTAAACTACTACCACATAATTCACAATAAAACATTAAAAAAAAAAAAAAAAGACTCTAATGAGAAGCCAAATAACCTTCCTTCCCATTCCCTTCCCTAGTAATGAATCCAATTCAAATCATAGAACCTATGCAAAAATTGCTCAGAAGAATGAGACACTTGATATTAAGAATATTAAGCACAGTATGTTACTAGGAAACCCCAAAATTGGTCAGCAAGTTTCTATTTACTTTTTTATTCTACCTTAAAAGGAATTTGAAGTGAAATAATCCCAAAATAGATGCATTAACTATTTTAAACTTTTCTTAAAATCTTAATGGGAAAAAAAAAAATTACTTGGTATATCTAAATATAAGAAGTGGAAATTAACAAATTAAAATTCAAGGTGAAAAGCTAAATTATTTCCAAAATAGAAGCTAGCTTTTAAAAAGTTTTTTTTTTGTTTTGCTTTGATTTTTAGTGGAATTTTTGGACTTTTACAAATTTTTGATGAATTCTTGTTAGAAAAAAATGGTCAGATGAAAAAAAGAATTTATAACAAGTAAGTTTCCACCACTAAACTTCACTTAAGGAGTCCCAAGAGTGGGGTCTCTGGATGGTACAAACAGTTACAGGCTCAACTATTAACCAAAAGGCTGGTTATTATTCAAAACCACCAAGAGTTATCTCGAAAGAAAGGCCTAGTGATCTGCTTCTGAAAGGCCATAGCCTTGAAAACCCTACGGCGTACAGTTCTACTCTGCAACTGACTTTAGTCGTCATGAGTTGGAATCAACTTGGCAACTGCTTTAGTTTTATAGCCAGTAGTTAAGGTAATGTCCAACAGTTCTGATGAGCATGGACCTATTTTAGCCTTCCTAGAAGGCTACCTGCAAGAGTATCGAAATATAACTGGGGTCCACTGTTTGACCCAAAAATTCACTTAGAGGTCTTTATCCAAAGGAAATAATCTAATAACTACACAAAGATTTATATAAATGTAATCAGCAACAGACAAAAGAAAAATAAATCCAAAGTATCTGCTTCTCTGGTAACTTTATAAAGAGAGCAGTATGAAGCTATTTCAAACTATTAAACAGGTGTGCATGGAAAGACGTCTACGGTATAAGTGAAGCAAGCTACAAATAAATAGCATATAATGTAGGACTGCATATAGATTGAAGAGTTATAGTTACTTAATTGAAAACCTTTAATTTATCTATCTTATCTTATTGTAGTTTTTAAATTAGAAAAAAAAAAAAGCTTATGTATTCCAGGATAAAATTCTGTAGTATATAAACTTAAATTTATGTTCACTAACATGAAATAAAACAACTGTGTAAAATAGAATTTGGTAGGCAAGTGTTATCAGGACATACACATGCATATACAATTTGTGACGTTTTATACAGCCAGGCCTAAAAGTATTCAGTCATTATAAAAGGGCAGGTTTTCTATATAAACATTTGAGAAAAACATCTTAACCCCACTTCATTCAGCAAAGTATATCACTAACAAGAATTTACTTGTGTGAAGGAAACTAGGAAAAGGAACCATGAAGGGGAAATTTACATGATTACAGTCAAGTCTAAAGAAATTATTGCAAATTTTCCATAAAGGTCTACATGTATATATGCTCTCCGGGTAAACCAAATAATGATAAAAGGTTTCCAGCAGAACTTCTGGCTGCCTTTTCCATCTGTATTTTGCTACATATACAATGAGTCTATAGAAACTCCAGGAGGAAATGCCCTCCTAAGTACCATACTTAGTAGTAGTCAGAAAAGTAACTTTCAAGTCTAGCTATTTCAAAAGCATTCCCCCACCCCTTTAGAAACTATACAACACAAACAACTTACTAAAATCTAATAGTACGTTAAATGTAAGGGACTGGTACTTCAAAACTATGTTGTCACCCAAACAAAATAGCAATGTGACACAAAAAAGTTCAGTACCTCTTATCATGTTCAATATTTCCTTTGTGACAAATGTTCTTAAATGAGTAAGATACATTCTTAAAAATGCCATGTACAATTTCACTAATACCTTTTCAGAATAATAAATTTTGTGGAGAAGACAATGACATAGAAAAAGGTTAATAGCACAAGATTACTTTATCTTCATGGCTTAATATAAATACATGCTCCTTGTAACTCTACAGAGTGTTGAGCTCGACTCCAATGAACTATGTTGTTGTTAAGTACTGTCAAGTCAGTTTCGACCCATAGCGACCCTGTACAGGGTTTCCGAGGCTGTAAATATTTATTGGAGCAGAAAGCATCATCTTTCTCCCGCGGAGCAGCTGGCAGTTTCGAACTGCTGATCTTGCGGTTCACAGCCTGATTTGTAACCACTACGCTGCCAGTACTCCTTGCAGCTGGTTAGCCATGGCTGCTATAAACAGGGACCAAGTAAGTGACAAGGTAAACAATGTAAGAGAAAAGGTGCACCAGAGAACCATCCTAAACAAACCACGATTTCCTTTTTCTCACCATCTGTTTGGTTGTAGACCTCTCAGACCCAAACAAATTTACACTTTCTGTGTCTGTATCCACCCCTAATTTGTCATTTTCTGATCTTTGAAGAAAACAAGGAGTCAGATTCTGGCCCTCGCTATGCAATTTTTATGTTCAAGAAGTAACCAAAAAACCAAGAACACATCTCCCTTGGGTTCAGTCCCTTATGTTGTTGATGTGCCCTGGAGTCGGTTCCGACTCATAGAGACCCTGTACAGGGTGGGTTTCCGAGGCTGTAAATCTTTACGGGAGCAGAATGCCTCATCTTTCTCCTGCGGGAACAGCTGGGAGTTTCGAATTGCTGAACTTGCAGTTCGCAGCCCAATTCGTAACCACTATGCTACCAGAAGAAACAATCGTTGGAGAAGGATGTCATGCTGGGTAAGGTGGAGGATCAGAGAAAGAGAGGAAGACCTCTAAAGAGATGGATTGGCCAGGTGGCATCATTGATGGACTCAAGTGTGGCAGCGGTAGTGAGGTTGGCCCAGGATCGGACATCGTTTTGTTCTGCTGTGCATGGGGTTGCTATGAGTCGGTTCCGACTCGATGGCACCTGACAACAACAACAACATGCTACCAGAGCTCCTTTCAGTCCCTTATAAGGAGAAAAAATTTAAAACTTAACATAACACAAAGAAAGAACTGAAAATTTAACACAAAATTTCACCAGCTACCACAGAAAAAGGCAAAGAAATAAATCTGCTAGAGTTAAAGGAAAGCAACAGATAATAGTGTTACAGCTTTCCTCTATCATGAAAGAAAAGAGCCTCTCCCATTAGCAATTTGGAAACATTTACTCACAGTAATTCTTTTTTTAAAAAGTGGGCTGTGAAGATCTTAATTCTATGAAAATAAGTGAGAGTCATTCTATATTGTAACCATAAGCAATGAGGTAAACAAAGTTCTCATTGTTTTATAAACCCAGAGAATATATGCCTAAATTTTTCTGGTGTGGCACTGTAGAATAAGCACCAGACTGCTAACAGCAAGGTCAATGGTTCAAACCCTCCAGATGCTTTTTGTAGAAACCCTACGCAGGGATGCTATGAGTTAGAATCAACTCAACACTAAACAACAACAAATGTCAGCAAAAACAAAACAACTGAAAATTATTACTTTATCAAAATAAAGTATCTTCCTATCCAATTCACATAATTGTTGATTAGGTATCAACCAGTGTTCTCCTGCATAGAATTTTACCCACCAATACTGCCCTACTCAAACTGTAAAATATTTTCCCAATTACTTTTGTTTTTCAAGTTTTTATTGTGAATTGAGCGATAGTTTACATGGGAGAACACTGGTTTTATACTTATCCTATTGTATTTCACTTCATTGCAATGATTACAATCCTCTCCATGCATCATCATTCAACAATTTGTTTCTATTCCCTGTTTTTGTTTTTTGTTTTTGTTTTGTGGATGTACACAAAAACACTCAGGAATATATAATAATTTAAACAACGAAAGGGCACATTCTGCAAGTCTGCCTCCTGGCTGCCAGCACTCAGTCTTTCTCTTTCCATGATGTTAGAGTACTCATCTCTGCCATTGATGCTTCTCTGGATAGGGTCCCACATTCTGCTCATGCTCTTCTACCTTGATGGTCCTAGGATCCTCTGTTCCTGGACTGTAAGATTAACTACCCCCCCTTTTTGTTACAAAACGTCTACCTTTATAGTTGTGACAGTCATGAAAACAATTACAACTGAATCATAAGAATCTTATCCCCATCTCCTTTCACCAGACCCATCTAGACAACATGAAAACTATTCAGTGGGAATTCTATCATCCCCTGCACACGCAGAAACTAAACTCCCTCTTGAAAATTTGTAAGCCAGTCACTTCATGCCTTTACAACCCCCTCATTTTAGGTAGCCAATGTCTAAGTTGCTCATCCCTACCAACCCTGTGTACAGAGGGGATGGGAATGATCCTTGATTTGAAGATTCCTTCCCTCTCTGTTGATATTTTGAGCTACTACTTCCATAAGCCAATTTCCTAACTTTTATATTAACAAAATTCATTCTGCTATTTTGACATCAAATAAAAAGGTATTCAGTTCCTTTTCAGCTTCTCACAATAGTTCATTTTTATACATCCTAAAACTAATACTCCTGGTGTGGCACTGTAGGATTAGCACTGGACTTTATTTAAACTACAAGGTCAGCAGTTCAAACCCACCAGCTGCTCCTTGGAAACTCTATACAGGGTCCCTATGAGTCAGAACTGACTTGACAGCACTTCACAACAACAAATGCCTCATTCAACTGGACCTCTAACAAGGAGGGCACTCTTGATGTATTAACTTTGTACACCCATTTAGTTGAATCCATTATTTGTTTTGATCTGTTTCTGCGTGGTTTCTTAAATCTCATAAGGTCAAGACTGAAAACTATTTGGTGTGGCTTCAGTTGAATACATCCTAAAATCAACAAGACGAGTTCCAATGTGCTGCACAATCCCCCCAGTAACCCAAGTTAAAAACTTTTTCTCTGTAGGGGGCGGGTTTCTGGGATATACCCTTTGGGTGGTTGATGATGCATGGAGGGGATTGGAACCATGGCAGTGAGAATGATATAAGATGCAATGAATGTAAAACTAAAGTTCTCCCATGTAAACTATCATATAATTCACAATAAAACATTAGCAAAAAACCTTTTTCTCCCATTTTATAAATATCTGCCAAACTCTCATGAGAACATTTCTGTATAACAGTCACAAATAAGCAAATAGATATGCCAACAAATTCTCATTTTTGGTTAGTCTAAAGCTGAAAGGAGTAGTTAAGAGATGATGAATGAGATGAAGAAACATGAGCAGTAGGACTAAGAAGTTCTTCAGGTGCTGAAAATGTCCACAGGCCCAAAGAACTGTGGAAACTAGAAAGCTAGAGTAGATGACTAATTCTTTTTTGAGTCTTCAGATGCTACAATTTCATGAAGAAATCAGACATAACAAAAACAGTCATTTCAAATTAGTGTTCATTCTGGTGCATAAAACAAATACAGAATGGTACCCATTTACAATGTCCTGCACCTCCACCCACAACCAAGGAAAAGTTAAAATGTGATAAAGAATTTGAGATAAATCATAGCACTATAAATCAATTGATTATTATTAATAATACTTACTGTATCCGAATTCCCCTCCAGCAATATATTGATAGCTTTGTTCACATCTCCATTACAATCATGTAGAGCCACTATGCATTCATCCTGATTTTTCCCTGTCACTTCCATAAGCTGTTAAAATTATTTTAAAAATGGTTAGCCAGAAAAATTCACTTGATATTAATTTCAATATTCTTCTACATAAAAACAGAAATTATATAATCCTTCAGTATGAAAGATGACCTTTTTGAGACTGAGTTTACAATACAAGAATAAGCAAACTTGTGTGCCATCCCATGTCCATTCATAAATACTAACAGAGTCAAATTACAAATAAACCTTTCACCATGCTAACCAATAATCAGATTAGCACACACACAAATATTCACTCACATGCCTAACATGCCCAGAATATCAAGTATTAGATAGTGGGCATGTTCTTTTCGTTAGGTGCCATCAAGTCTGTTTCAACTTATAGTGAAACTATGTACAACAGAACGAAAAAATGCCCTGTTGCATGCAATCTCATAATTATCACCCTTGAGTTAATTGTTGCTGTCACTATGTTAATCCACTTCATTGATATTCTTCTCCAGGGACTGCTCTCTTCTGATAACATGCCCAAAGTACATGAGAACATGAGACAAATCTTGCCATCTTTGCTTCTTAAGAGAACTTTGGCTATACTTCTTCCAGGACAGATTTGTTTGTTCTTCAGGCAGTCCATGGTATATTCAACATTCTTCACCAACACCATAATTCAAAGTATCAATTCCTTTCCAGTCTTCCTTACTCCCTGTCCAGCTTTCACATGCACATGAGGCAAGTGAAAATACCACATCCTCGGTCGGGTATACCTTTCTCCTCTCAAAGTGAAATCTTTGCTATTTAAGGGGGTCTTTGGCAGCAGATTGGTCCAACGCAATCTGTGGTTTGACTTCTTGACTGCTGCTTCCCTGAGTGTTGATTGTGGATCTAAGTAAAATGAAATCTTTGACAACTCAATCTTTTCACCATTTATCATGATGTTATTTACTGGTCCAGCTGTAAGAATATTTGTTTTCTAGACTTTGAGTTGTAATCCATATTAAAAGCTATATTATTTGATATTCATCAGCAAGCACCTTAAGTCCTCTTCATTGTCATCAAGCAGTTTTATCATCTACACATTACAGGTTGGAATTTAGTCTCCCTCCAATCCTGATGTTGTATTCTTCACCATATAATCCAGTTTTTCAGAGTACTTGCTCAGCATACAGAGTGAATAAATATGGTGAAAAGGTACAACCCTGACACATACCTTTCCTGATTTTAAATCATGCAGTTTCTCATTATTCTGTTTGAATACTGCCTTTTGGGCTAAATAAAGATTCCACAAGAGCACTATTAAGAGTTGTGGAAATCTCCGTTCTTTGCAATGATATGCATAGTTTATTATAAGCCACACAATCAAATACCTTTGCTTAGTCAATAAAACACAAGTAAACTTCTTCCTAGTAACTTCTGCCTTCAGCAACCATCCATCTGACATCAGCAATGATATCCCTCATTTCATATCCTCTTCTAAATCCAGCTTGAATTTCTGCCATCACCCTACTGATTTACTGCTACAACCAGTATCTTCAGCAAAATTTTACTTGCATGTGATATTGATATTGTTCAATGATTTCTGCATTCCACTGGTTCGCCTATGGAATGAGCATAAATATAGACCTAATGGTTGGCCAGGTAACCATCTTCCAAATTTCTTGGCATTGAGTAGTAAGAGCATCCAACACTGCATCAGTCTGTTGAAATATTTCTACTGGTATTCTATCAATTCCTGGAGCCTTGTTTTCCTGTGCAGCTTAGATGTCTTCTTTTAATACCATCATGCTACCCATGAAATAGTTGAACATCAACCAATTCGTTTTGGTACAAAGATTCTTTCTATTCTTTTGCTGCTTCCTGCATTGGTCAACATTTTCCCCATGTTGTTGTTAAGTGCCATCAAGTTGGCTCCAACTCATAGCAATCCCATACAGGTTTCCAAGGCTCTGATAGCGTAGTGGTTACAAACTGGGCTGCTAATCTCACAGTCAGCAGTTTGAAACTACCAGTCATTCTGCAGGAGAAAGATGAGGCTTTCTGCTCCGAAAAAGATTTGCAGCCTCAGAAACCCTGTACAGGGTTGCTATGGGTCGGAATCTACTCCACAGCACATAACAACAACAATAACAAAGTCTTAGCAGAAGCAGAAAACCTCAAATTTCTCCAGTGGAGTGGCTGACGGGCTCAAACTGTCAACCTTGTGATTTGCAGCCCAGTGCTTACCTTACAGAGCCACCATTCTCCCATTTCTTCATCTTTTAAATAGAATCCTTCACTATTTCAAGTAGAGGCCTGAATTTTCCTTCAGTTCCTTCAGCTTGAGAAATGCTGACTGTGTTCCTCCCTTTAGGCTTTCTTAACTTCAGTTGACTACATAGTAATTCAATAGCAGGGGATTCCCAAACTTCTGAACCACTAAAGTATTAGATTTCCCATACCAACAACCAAGAAGATGGTGCAAGATTGATCAAGATTTTGTTCTGTTCTATGTAACATCATCATGCTTGGAACATCAACTAATGACAACAAACTTACCAACTATAAATATGCAGTCACCCTTCAAAGAATATCAAATACAAGTCGATTTTGCACAAGGTCAACGTTCCCTACTGAACTATTACTGTTTAAATTGGAATACTACACACATATATAAAGTTTTACTATCCTAAATTTTCACAAATGGAATTCCACAGCTGTCACAAAAGTCATTCTTAGACACTGTTCTCTCAAGTTTCAACAGGGTGCTGTTTGAAGTAATCAATAAATTATCTTCGGGCCATTCTTTTTAACAAAGACAGTTTAGCTACTTAACATTTACATCACTAGGAACAAACATAGATTAGACAAAAATAGGTTTCTCAAGTATCACAGAACAAATTTATTGTTTAGATATCTACTGTGTTTTCATTATGGGTAACTATTATAATACCTACTTCTTGTTAAATACCATCAAGTCACTTCCATCCCATAATGACCCTGTATAAGTTTTCCAAAGAGCAGCTGGTGAACTTGAACCACCAACCTTGCAGTTAAAACTGACTTTGCAGTCTGATGCATTAGCCCATTAGTGCCACACCAGGACTCCGTAATACCTACTAGCTGCAGTTAAATACCTACTAATAGCTGTTTAGGAGTCCTGGTGTGGCGCTGGAAATGTGTGGGCTTAGTAATGGGATGGAGAATACACTTTGTACAGGAGAGAGTATTTTTTCATCCTGGTGTGGCACTGTGGATTGATGCACTGGACTGCAAAGTCAGTTTGAGCCACAAGGTCCGTGGGTCAAGCTTATCAGCCACTCCACAGAAACTCTATACAGGGCTGCTATGGGTCAGAACCGACTTGACGACACTTAACAACAAAGTTGACACCAAATGTGGCTGTAGTGAGCATAGCACACCACACCACACCACTTAAAATGAGCGTTTGCACACATATGGATACGTATTGGTAAATTTGTATGTACAAATACAAATATATGGGTGGAGGCACATATATTCCCTGAAGACACAAATACCACTCTTTTGAGACCTAATCAAACACATTCCAACATTGGTGTTCTGAGTTTGTAAGCTTAGGACCATAGTCTCATGGGACAACTCAGTCAAATGGTATGACATAATTTACAAAACATATGATCTGCTTTATACTATCTTAAACACTGTGAACAATCTAAGACACAACTATAGGTCTCTAACCACCAGGAGCAAAACAGGCAGAAGGTTACCAAAAGCTCAAAGAAGAAAAGAGTCTACAAGAGCCACAAGCTTATTTTTTGAGTCCAGAAGAACTGTATGGTATCCAGGTATGACCATGGACAGTTTTGGCCAGGGTTACAATAGTTGGTCCTGAATACAACAGAAAAAAATTATGGAGAATTCAAATTCTTATTGGGGGGTGGAAAAAAAGCCAGACAACTAACAGTAGAGAGCAGATGATTCCTGGAAACTTTCACACTGACACACTCTTTAAACCTAGAAGTGAGCCTCTGCCAAGGTCACCTTATAGCGAAATAAGAGACTGGCACACAGTGTATTCCCTGTAAGATCAACAGTTACTTAAAAGAAAAGACAGGGGTCAGGGAAACTAGAGTACCAGAAAGGCAACAAACTGAACATCATTAGAGAATGCTGACACTTCTGATAAACATAACTACTGTCATACCAAACAGTGTGGAAATTGTCAAATGGGAACCTAACTTGCTGTGTACACTTCGTGGAAACTGTCAAATGGGAACCTAACTTGCTGTGTACACTTTCCCAAAGAACTCAATAAAATATTATATTTTCAAAAGAAAACAGCTAATTTTAAAAAGCCCAGGTAAAAGATAAATTTCCTTATCTCATAATCATGGTTCTGTGCAACATACCTTTCTTCCTCCCTATTTTCCTCTTTTCATTTTCCTAGGCAGTAAAAGTTCTGCTCAGTCATTAGACTTTACCAAAGATGTCAGATTTTTATCAGTAATCTGTATTAATTGAATACTTGCTATGATGCACAGTCAACATCAAAATTCCCTTCATGAAAGGATTAGTAAAAACAGAACTTAGGTTATAACTTAAAAATGAACTTCTGGTTCAATTTTCTCTTTGTATTGTATGTCTGCTATGCTATTCAGATAAAAGGCAGCAAAATATACAGAAGTATGTCTTAAACTCTAAGTAGATATCATTACAGAGAATGTGCTAATTTTATTAAATTTAATCTTATTAAATCCTTTATGGCCTTTCCAACTGATTACCATTAACCTGCAATCAGTACCTATACAAGAGGGAAAAGAAAAAAAAAAAAAAACCTACACATTTAAGGATTAAATGTCTGGGATATTCAAAGAACAATTATTGGGAGACTTGTACGAAGCGTTGGAAGGCCTTCCTCCAAGATGGCTTGCTTTTTATAATCTTGAATAGAATGGAAGTTTTACCAGGAAAGGATCTGAAACCAAGATTAGGATATCAAGAAAATCATTTATTAAAGTTCTAAATAAATAAAACAAATCTTCCTAAAATGTAATACCTTTCCAAACATAGTTTGTAATATACCATGTTGAAAAGGTAATTCAACTCTCCTCTCACATTAAACTAAGAAAGTACCAAAATCTAATTTCTAAACACAGGTATAAAAAATGTCAGTGTACTTTTACAAATGCATAGCCTAATATTCACATACAAGCAGAAAGATCCTACTGCCAAAAGGAAGAACATGTTCAATTCCTGCATTTGGCCACCTTTAATGGTATTTAAATCACAAATTCAATATGCAATTAATAAATATGAGTTGGGATTAAGCCAGAAACATACCTGTTTAACTTTAGCTTCAAAGTCTGAATCATTCTTATCAAAGATCACTTGAGCGAGACGCATCTGTTCAGCTGTTGCCTGGAAAACACAAAAAATTGTTCAAGATTTGAGTATCAAAATGTAAGTTACATGCCAAATCCTGGTGCTAAAGAGAAGCGCTCTTAAGTAGCAGCACTACCGTAATAGAAATGCTAATTAACTAAAACAAAGATACACATCCTGTTATCATAAGGTTAATACTTCATCAAATAGAGGTGTGGAAAAGTAGGTTCACCACAAGGTCAGTGGTTCAAATTCACCAGCTGCTCCTCAGAAACATTATGGGGTACAAAGCCTTTGGCCAAATGACCTATTCATCTTCCTTGACAAGGTAATATATTTGAATTTTCTTTCTCTTGAGGTGAGGGAACCAGCACAAGAAAAACAATAGGAAGCAGTTGAAAAGTTGCCTGACACTGGCTTAAAATCAGTTAAACAAGCAAATCTGTTGACTCCTAAAAAATTTATCCTGGTCCATTCTTAAAAGAAAAGGTGATATTTAGTAAATAAAAATCATTATTAAAGTGACTCCTTTGAGGAATAAGCTAAATATTAATGTACCCATTTCATTTCTTAATTTTGACTAAAACTAAGAAATTAATGAACAGCTTCTCTTCTCCGCTTTTAATATGCATTCCATTTTAAATGAGTTAGAGAAGGGTATCTGTTGCAATGTTAGCATTTACCACTTTGACAAGGGCTTTCCAGTACATGTGGGTGGGTTATAAGCTCCAGGCTGCCTTGGCCTGCGCTATCCCTTCAACCCAGCCTGTACTTGCTATGATCTCAGCCTAAGTGTTGTAATGATGCTACCTTACACACAGAACATTTGTATAGCAACTGTCTGTCCACTCCTGAACTGACCTCAGTCCTATCCAGTACAAGTGATCCATATAAGATCACTTGTCTCTAACTATACCTCCAATAGCCATTTCCCTGACCTACAACCAACTGAGAAAAGGACCAAAGGCATGAAGCAACCATACGAAAAAAAATGGGAAAATGAGCTCTGGGAAGATGGCACCCTACATTATACATTAAGGTTGAGGGTACTAGAGACCTTTTGTGGAATGAAGTAGACATTGATATCCCAGGTACAAAAAAAGCCTACATGAATTATTTGCTCATTTTCTGTAATACTTTTCATTTCCTGAGTCAAAAAACTAAAATAAAAAGAATGCCTTACTCATAATTCAGCTAACTTATACAGCTTTCTCTAATCAAAGCACCATTATTATTTATCCATTTCACCATTAAACTGTTGGAAGAAGTACAGCCAGAGTGCTTGCTCCTCGGAGGCCAGGAAGGCCAGACTCCGTCTCTCATACTTTGGACATATTATCAGGAGGGACCAGTCATTGCACAGGGGTATCATGTTTGCTAAGGTGGAGGGTCAGAGAAAAAGAGGAAGACCCCCCAGTGAGATGGACTGGCAAGTGGCAGCATCAATGGGCTCAAGCGTGGCAATAATTGTGAGGTTAGCCCAGGACTGGGCAGTGTTTTCTTCTGTTGTGTATAGGGCTGCTATAAGTCAGTACCAACTTGATGGCACCTAACAACATCATTAAACTTTCTTAAATTATAGAATTTGAACATATCACACACAAAAAATTTAAGTGACACATTCATACAGAAAGTATGGTCTGATACTTCTTATCAAAGATAGACTTGGACATTGGCTACCCAAATGGGGACAGGGTGAGGTGGGGGCTACAAAGGCAAGAAGTGACTGGCTTACAAGCTTTCAAGAGGTAACCTAGATCCAGATGGCATGGAGGAAGGTAGAGTCTCCAGTGAGTAGTACCCAATCTGTCTAGGAAGGTCTGATGAAATGAAATGCAGATGAGTCTCTTGTGATGCAACAGTGAATAATTGTTATCAGGACTGACTGTGAGGGATGGAAATGTAAAGGCGGACTAAACCAGCAAGGAGGGGAGTGATTAACTTTTCAGTCTAGGAGCAGAGGTCCCTGGGATCATCAATGGAGAAGAGCGGAGAGCGAGACCCTCTACCCAGAGAAGCAGTGACGCCTGAGATAGAGGCAGAGGCAATGACACGGAGAGATGGAGTGGCTGGGGACTTGAGATCCAGAGAGGAAAAGAGGCTGTGTACTGATGACTGGGCGGTGGGGAGGGGCAGGCTTGCAGGGTATACCCTTTGGTTGGTTGATGATGCATGGACGGGATTGTAACTATGGCAATGAAACGATATATGATAGAATGAATGTAAATCCAATGGTCTCCCATATAAACTATCACATAATTTACAATAAAACATTTATTTTAAAAAAATATATAGAAAGACATCACACACACACAAAAAGATAGAAGAGTGAACATATTGGTCTCAAATAGACACAATTTATTAGCAATATCTACATTATAATGTCAAAAATGAAATGGAACGAATAAACATCAATATCTTAGGCATTAGTGAGGTTAAATGGACTGATATTGGTCATTTTGAATCTGACAACCACACGGTTTACTATGCCGGGAATGACAAATTGAAGAGGAATGGTGTTGCATTCACTGTCAAAAAGAACATATCCAGATCATGAGTTACAATGCTGTCTGTGATAGGATAATATCCATGCGCATACAGGGAAGACCAGCTAATGCCACTATTATTCAAATTTACACACCAACCACTAAACCCAATGAGGATGAAATAGAAGAATTCTACCAACTTCTTCAAGCTGAAATTAATCAAACATGCAATCAAGATGTATTGATCATTATTGGTGATTGGAATGCAAAGGTTGGGTGCAAAGAGGAAGAATCAGTAGTTGGAAAATATGGCCTTGGTGATAGAAATGATGCTGGAGATCGCATGATAGAATTCTGTCAAATACCTTCTTTAGACAGCATAAGAGATGACTATACACATGGACCTCACCAGATGGAATACATAGAAATCAAATTGACTACATCTGAGGAAAGAGACGATGCAAAAACTCCATATCATCAGTCAAAACAAGGCCAGGGACAGACTGTGGAACAGACCATCAATTACTCATATGCAAATTCAAACTGAAACTGAAGAAAATGAAAACAAGTCCACGAGAGCCAAAATATGACCATGAATATATCCCACCTGAATTTAGAGATCATCTGAAGAACAGATTTGATACATTAAACACTAAAGACCGATGACCAGAAGAGTTGTGGGATAACATCAAGAAAACAAAATATCTTTAAGAAGACAAGAAAGAAGAAAAAGGTCCAAATGGATGTCAAAAGAGACACTCAAACTTGCTCTCCAGCGTAGAGATGCTAAAGCAAATGGAAGAAATGGGGAGGTACAAGAGCTGAACAGAAAATTTTAGATGATCAATTTGAGAAGATAAAGCCAAATATTACAATAAAATGTGCAAAGATCTGAAATCAAAAAACCAAAAAGGAAGAACAACACACTCAGCATTTCTCAAGCTGCGGGAACTGAAGAAAAAATTCAAGCCTCGACTTTCGTTAATGAAAGATTCTCTGGGCAAATTATTGAATGATGCAGAAAGCATCAAGAAAAGATAGAAGGAATACACAGAGTCACTGTACCAAAAGGAAATGGGTAACGTTTCAAGAGGTAGCATATGATGAAAAGCCAATGATACTGAAGGAGGAAGTCCAAGATGCATTGAAGGAACTGGAAAAGAACAAGGAACCAGGAATTGATGGAATAAAAATTGAAATCTTTCAAGAAAGTGAGGCAGCACAGGAGGTACTCACTCATCTCTGCCAAGAAATTTGGAAGACAACTATCTGGCTGACTGGAAGAGATCCATATGTGTGTCCATTCCAAAGATGTGACCCAACGGAAAGCAGAAATCATTGGACAATGTCTTTGATATCTCATGCAAGTAAAGTTTTGCTAAAGGTAATACAAAAATGGCTACAATCATACATTGACAGAGAACTTCCAGAGGTTCAAGTCAGATTCAGAAGAGGCCGTGGATCGAGGGATATCATTGCTGATGTCCGACAGATCTTAGCCAAAAGCAGAGAATATCAGAAAGATGTTTACCTATGCTTTATTGACTACGCAAAGGCTTTCAATCATGACAAGCTATAGACAACATTGAGAGGTATGAGTATACTGGAACACTTAATTGTGTTCATGAGGAATCTGTTCCTGGACCAAAAGGCAGTGGTTCAAACAGAACATGGGAACAATGAATGGTTTAAAATTAAGAAAGGAGTGCGGCAAGATTGTATTCCTACACAATACTTATTCAACCTGTATGTTGTTGTTAAGTGCCGTCGAGTCGGTTCCGACCCATAGCAACCCTGTACAGGGTTTCCGAGGGTGTAAATCTTTACGGGAGTAGAAAGCCTCATCTTTCTCCCGCGGAGCGGCTGATAGTTTCGAACCGCTGACCTTAAGGTTCGCAGTCCGATTCGTAACCACTACGCTACCAAAGCAAATAATCTGACAAGCTGGGTTCTAAGAAGAAAAACATGGCATCAGGATTGAAGGAAGACTCATTAACAACCTGCGATATGCAGATGATACAACCTTGCTTGCCAAAAGTGAACAGGACTTAAAACATTTACTGATGAAGATCAAACAGCACAGCCTTCGGTATGGATTACATCTCAATGTCAAGAAAACAAAAATCCTCACCCCTGGACCAATAAACAACATTCTTATCAACGGAGAAAAGATTGAAGTTGTCAAGGACTTCATTCTTCTTGGATCAACTATCAACACTCACGGAAGCAGCAGCCAAGAAATCAAACGATGTATTGCATTAGGCAAATCTACTGCACAAAAACTTTTTAAAGTGTTGAAGAACAAAGATGTTAGCTTGAGGACTACGGTGCACCTGACGCAAGCCATGATATTTTCAATAACCTCATATACATGTGACAGTTGGACAGTGAATAAGGAAGACCGTAGAAGAATTGATGTTTTTGAGCTATGGTTTTGGAGGAGAATATTGAAAGTCCCATAGGCTACCAAAAGAACCAATGGATCCGTTTTGGAAGAAGTGCAGCCAGAATGCTCCTTAGAGGCCAAGATGGCCAAACTTCGCCTCTCAT